CCGAGTTTCCTCCGACAGAGGCTCCGCTACAGACCCTCCACATGGACGTGTGGGGCCCGGCCCGCGTCCGTGGGCAGGGGCACGAGCGGTACATCCTGCTGGTGGTTGACGACTACTTGCATTACACCACAGACTTCCCCTTGCGCAGCAAGGGTGGCGTCACTGAGGTGTTGATCGACTAGATCCGCGCAGCTCGTCTCCAGCTTAGAGAGAGTTTCGGCTCGGACTTTCCTGTTCTTCGTCTGCACTCGAACAGAGGCGGGCAGTTTTCCTCTGCCCATCTGGGAACCTTCTCTCGTGCACAGGGCATCCGCCAGACCTTCACGCTTCCGACCTCTCCACACCAAAATGGGATTGCTGAGCGCCGCATTGGCATGGTCATGGACGTCGCTCGTACGTCCATGATGCATGCGGCTGCCCCCCATTTTCTGTGGCCGTTTGCGGTTCAGTACGCTGCGCATCAGCTCAACCTTCAGCCAAGGGTCTCCTTGCCTGAGACTTCCCCCGCCTTGCGGTGGACTGGGAAGGTTGGCGATGCGTCTGCATTTCGGGTCTGGGGATCTCGGGCGTTTGTCCGCGACTTGTCTGCGGACAAGCTGTCCCCCCGTGCTGTTCGCTACGTCTTCCTTGGCTTCCCCCCTGACGCGCCTGGGTGGCAATTTTACCACCCCACCTCACGACGTGTGATGTCCTCCGAGGACGTCACCTTTGACGAGTCGGTGCCCTACTACCGCCCCTCCCCCCGCCGCCGCTCTTCCTTGCACCAGGTCCTCCCCCGGTAGACCCCCTCTCCCCTCAGGGTCCTGCCCCGTCAGGTGTGTCCCAGGTAGACGCACTCAAGCCTGTCGAGGTAGCAATTGACTCTAGTGCTGCTAGAGGTGCTGAGCCTGCGGGTGCCGGGTCTGGGGGTGCTGGGACTGGGGGTGCTGAGTCTGGGGGTGCTGAGCCTGGGGATACTGGGTCTGTGGGTGCGGAGCGTGGAGGTGCGGAGCGTGGGGATGCTCAGCCTGGGGGAGCTGGGTCTTCTCGTGTGGCCGCCGGCGATGCTTCGTCGAGGCAGGAGCCACTCTCTCCACAAGAGCTGCGCGAGTGGTTTTCCCGTCGCTTGAGACGTGGTGATGAGACTGGGGGTGCTGCTGGGGCTACTGGAGTTAGTCCTGCTCGAGCTCGTGGCGGTACTAGTGCTGCTGAATCTAGAGCTGCTGGGGGTGTTGGCGCTAGTGTTTCTACTAGCAATGGTGCGTTTGGGGGTGCTGCTGAGGCTGCTGGTGCTGACGGTCCTACTGGAGTTGGTGTTACTGGAGCTGGAGCTATTGAGGGTGTTGGCGCTGGCGGTACCGTTGGCGCTGGTGCTTCTGAGGGTGCTGGAGCTGGCGTTGTTGGAGTTGGAGGTGCTACTGGCGCTGGTGCTGCCGCTGGGGGTACTGGTGCTGTCCTTGCTGGTTCTGGAGGCGCTGAGCGGCCGAGGCCGTACTTCGTTCCGCTCCTGGAGCAGGTTCTTGGTCTCCCGCCCTTTCCTAGACCTGCTCCTTCCTTAGAGTGTCCATAGCCTGTCAGGTCTTGCTGAGCATCGTGCGCCTGCGTCTCGTCCTGCGTCGCCTGTCCGTGCTGCTCGCACTAGTGGTCATACTGCTCGTCCGCGTCCTCCTACGGTCCCCGACACACACCAAATAGCGCTGCGTCCTTCCTCTGCTCCTCTACTTGTCCCGTTGCCATCTCCTCCAGAGTCCTCTCTTCCTACTCTTGGTGACTCGGAGTCTGACTCCCTTCGTGCTGCTTGTCCTTCGGTCACGCGTCTTCTTGCTACTGTTGTCACCGACCCTTCCTTTGAGTCTTGTGCTGCATGTGCCCTAGTTGCTCAGCTTGTTCACTTTGCTGCTCGCTGTCGTCTAGACTACACTGCCAGTCTTGTTGCAGAGTCTGAGTATGTCTGTCCTCCATCCGTGGGGGGTGAGTGTGCTCTTACCACGGACGTCCTTGAGGATAGGCGGGAGGAGTTCTAGTGCTTTGCTGCTGCTTTGCCCCATCTCGTGTCCACGCTGATTGCCCCTGAGGGAGACCCGGATGCACCAGACATCCCAACTCCTCGATCGTACACTGAGGCGATCAAGGGTCCCTACTCCTCTCAGTGGAAGTCAGACATGGATGGCTTCTTGCAATTGCACAGGCACCTACGTCGATGAGGTTCCCCCACCTGGGGCGAACATCGTCAGTGACATGTGGATTTTCAAGGTGAAGCGGCCGTCGGGTTCTCCGTCTGTCTTCAAGGCGCGTTACATGGCTCAAGGCTTCAGTCAGCGGCACAGAGTTGACTACTTTCAGACCTTCTCTCCCACCCCAAAGATAATCACTCTTCGGGTGCTACTGCACATAGCCGCTCAGCGCGACTACGAGCTTCACTCTCTTGACTTCAGCACAGCTTTCCTGCAGGGCAGCCTGCACGAGGAGATCTAGCTGTGCCGCCCACCTGGCTTCACTGGGTCTTTCCCCTGGTACCCAGTGGAGCCTGCGGTAGCCAGTCTACGGTCTCCGCTAGGCACCCCGAGAGTGGCACGACACAGTGAGGACTACACTTGCGGCTCTCGGGTTTGCTACTTCTATAGCCGACCCGTCACTGTTTCTACGCACCGACACCTCTTTGCCGCTGTTCTACATCCTTGTGTATGATGACGACTTTGTCTTTGCCACAGCTGACACTGCTAGACTCGCCCACGGGAAGGCATAGTTGCAGAAGCGACACACGTGCACAGACCTGGGTGAACTGCGCAGCTACCTTGGCTTGTAGATCACCCGGGACAGAGCACAGCGCACCATTACCCTGACTAAGTCACACATGGTGCAGCAGGTCCTTCAACGCTTCCGCTTCACGTACTCCTCGCCTCAAGCCACTCCTCTGTCCACTCGCCACTCGCTCTCAGCTCTACCTTCGAATGAGTCCGTAGAGTCGAGTGGCCCGTACCCAGAGCTTGTTGGCTGCCTCATGTACCTGATGATCTGCACACGACCTGACCTTGCATACCCTCTTAGCATCTTGGCACGCTATGTTGCTCCTGGGAGACACCGACCAGAGCACATGGCTGCAGCAAAGAGGGTGTTGTTCTTCGCCACGTTTCCAAGTTTCCAGATCTGCCTATTCTTTTCCGCATTCCCATGTACCAGAAAAAGATGGAGCTTGCTATGATTGTGGTGTTTTTCGTCAACCGGACAACGTTACGAGCGTGTACCCGTCAGAAAGCGTGGTGATGCGGTGCGTCATCGGTGTTTGGGGCGAGAGCAAGGCTGCCGCGCTGGTAGCAGTCATGACGTACTCCGTGGCGCGGGCAGGCGCTTCAACGCGCAAGCAGAGTGATTGGCGTGCGCGGATCTCGATGAATGGGCGCCGGAATTTTGCTGACACTTTTGGGCTCCCTTGCGAGGCGAATCCCCGCCTGAAATTCGACTACAGCGAGCTAGTTTGAGACGAGGAGCGCACACCGACCCAAGTGTACAACTTGGAGAGCGAGGGTGGTATATCACTGGTCAAGCCTCTTGGTAAGTGTTGTTCGTGAGCATTGGTAACCACAGCTGTTACGCATGGTGCTGTATACGTCTTATGATCTTGGCATACCCTTGGTTATGAAAGTACCCACCTTTCCATATAACTTATGACTGCATGTCTGACAACTCACTCGACTTTCCTCCCTTGGCCCGATTTCACTCGACATCCTAGTTGGGCCTAGGCTCCTAAGCCTAGGCCCTAGTTAAACTTAACTCATCCTTGTTCTCATTTTAATATCATCTACTTCACTTGTAAGTTTTCTTGCAATTTCATTTTCTTGAACATTGTTATTTTATTGTAAACAAAATTGTTTGGTGTGTCAACGTTGTTGCTTGATTGTAAGATCTGTCTAAACAGAATTTGCTAAAAGGAGATGTCAATGTTTTCGTCGACGGTAAGATTTTTTCATTCTGTTCTGGAGCTTTGTTTTCTAACCTCAATGACTGACGAATGATGTTTTACAATATACTATATGCCTGTGTTGCGGTTCAATATATTATAATTGGATCAATTCATTTTTGTAATTGTCTTCTAACAACTTTGTCGGTTCAAGGGTAATATTGATTACTTCATGTCTGCACAACGTTTATTATGACTCAACTGAAGCCACTACTTAGATGCTGCGGTGTTTTTGTGTTATGCCAAATAATATATTTGAGCCTTATGGTTTTGGAAGTTGTGATAATTTGTATACATCATGGTGCAAGAATTATGCATTAGCGTTTCTAGTGTTTTCTTGTATAAACATTGTATTAATGTCCTATTTGAAATACAATGGGGCTTTAAGGCCAAACGCAAGAGAGGCAGTTGCAATGCAAGCAAACCCAGAGACGTCCCGAATCTGTCAGTGGGAGAGTCCTCAATGCTGCATGAAGAGAGGTCTCGAATGTGTCCCAAAAGTGTCTCGAAAGACACTTTCGGGTAAATTGGGCGATCCACTTTCAGGACATTTCACTTAGTTTCGAAAGTGTCTTTCGAGACACTTTTCAACCTGTCCCGAAAGTATTCGAAAAGAATATTTTGGGACATTTTCGGGACATTCCATTTTGGTGATGTGACGGCGGAGCTGCCAGTGGTACCACGGCAGCCAACGTGGCGCTTGAGGATAGGTGCAACGAGGTAGCGGTGTCAATAGTTCAAACGGCGGCTCCAAGGGTGTTGGGCCGGAAGCAATAGCAGCGGCTGATGAGGCAGTGGTTCGACGATGCTCCTGATGAGCCCGTTTTGCCTGCATTCCCTGAAGTCAACCGGACAAGCCAAATCAACCAAGTCAACGCATTCGACGAATTACATGTTGTCAATGACCTTGACGTACTGAGCACAGTCAACACAGTCAATGCAGTCAACGCCACGACTGTCGCAACAGCTGTCAGTGACTATTTTGAATCAGCACCTGCTGACGCCTGCCTCGGATTCTGAGCCTTGGAGGCACGCTGCCTTGGGGTCAGCACCACCGGAATGCATGGTGCCTGCAGGAGCATCTGGAAGGCCGCCATGCAGGTAGGGCCGTCCCTGCCATGGGGCCCCCCTGCTCTCCCGCCCTGCTCTCCCACCCTGCTCTCCCACCCTGATCTCCCACCCTGATCTCCCACCCTGCTCTCCCACCCTGATCTCCCACCCTGCTCTCCCACCCTACTCTCCCACCCTGCTCTCCCACCCTGCTCTCCCCACCCTACTCTCCCCACCCTCATCTCTCACCCTCATCTCCCACCCTAATCTCCCACCCTGCTCTCCCACCCTGCTCTCCCACCCTGCTATCCCCACCCTGCTCTCCCCACCCTGATCTCCCACCCTGCTCTCCCACCCTGCTCTCCCACCCTGCTCTCCCCACCCTGATCTCCCACCCTGATTCTCTCTGCCTCATCCTCACCTTCAGCATCTGTGCTTTCCTTCCCTTTCCGCCCTGCCTCGTGCCTCTTGCCTTTCCAACAGGGCAGAGTGCTGCTGACGTGGCAGTTACAGAGGAACTCAATGGCCACATTGACATCTTTCGGATAAAGAAGGAAACACAGGGTAAGACACCCTTGTCCGTTCCCTTCTACCCCATTGTGAATGTATGAATAATGACTTCTGAAATGATGATCAAGCCTGTGTGCCAGCGTGCATGAGTCTTGCATTATGCAACTAAATCTGATCCTTCATACTTGGCCCACTAATTCAAGCCTTCGTTGCCATTACTGAATAGCTTCCACTACACTCCCCCATTACCACTGCTCTTCTGTTGATTTCTGTCGACGTTGCTGGCATACTCCCAGCACACCCACCCTTCCTTCGCTTTCTCATCCATTGCGTCTCTCCATCTCCCCCTCCCCCTTTACGACTGCTCCCTTCCCCCTCCCCCCCCCCCCCCCCCAGCACGTGCATGTGGTGATGGGGCTCAGCTTTCTTCCCTCTTGCTTCTTCCACCCCACCCCTCTCCCCTCCTCCCCTCTTCCCCCCCCTCCTCCAGCACGTGCACGTGGCAATGGAGCTCTGTGAGGGGGGAGACCTGTTTGACCGCGTTGCCTTGCAAAGAAGGCTCTCGGAACCTTCTGCAGCGCGCATCTTCCGATCGCTCATGTTGGCCTTGCAGCACTGCCACTCGCACACCATCGTGCACCGCGACGTCAAACCCAAAATCATCCTTCTATCGAATCGCGCTATTAACAAGGATAATGTTAATGGCTGTGAGGTCAAGCTGACTTGGTGGCACGGCACGGAAATCGTGACACTGGCTGATGCAGCAGTGGTTCCAAGTTGCTCCTGAGCAGCTCATTCCGCCTGCCCGCATTCAACCGAACAAGCCAAGTCAACCAAGTCACCCAGGTCAACCAAGTCAACCGAACAAGCCAAGTCAACTAGGTCAACGCACTCGAAGCAGTCCATCATGCTGTCAATGACTTTGACGCATCTAGCATAGTCAACACAGTCTACACAGTTGATCGAGTCAACTCAGTCAATTCAGTGAATGTAGCCAGTGAAGCAGTGACTATCGCAACAGCTGTCGGCGACTATTTTGAATCAGCACCTGCTGACGCCAGCCCCGGATTCTAAGCCTCGGAATCAGCTCCGGATTCAGATTCCAAGCCTGCACCCTCGGTCAAGCCTCAGAAAACAACCGTGGGCTTGCATTCCCAGCAGCAGAAGCAAGGGAGGTGTAAGTGGGGAAGGTGCAAGCAGGGGAGGTGCAAGTGGGGGAGGTGCAAGCAAGGGAGGTGCAAGTGGGGGAGGTGCAAGCAGGGGAGGTGCAAGTGGGGGAGGTGCAAGCAGGGGAGGTGCAAGTTGGGGAGGTGCAAGCAGGGGAGGTGCAAGTGGGGGAGGTGCAAGTAGGGGAGGTGCAAGTGGGGGAGGTGCAAGTAGGGGAGGTGCAAGCAAGGGAGGCGCAAGTGGGGGAGGTGCAAGTGGGGGAGGTGCAAGCAGGGGAGGTGCAAGCAAGGGAGGCGCAAGTGGGGGAGGTGCAAGTGGGGGAGGTGCAAGTGAGGGAGGTGCGCAACTTGCAAGTGGGGGGGGGGGTGAAAGTGGGACAGGCGAAAGCGGGAGAGGTGAAAAAAACAAGGGAGGCACAAGTGGGGGAAGGTGCAAGGGGGGATTACAACCAGGGCAGGCAAAATTGGGGGAGGTGAAAGTGGGGGAGGCGAAAGTGGGGGAGGCAAAAGTGGGGGAGGCGAAAGTGGGGGAGACGAAAATGGGGGAGGTACGAACGGGGGAGCTGATGATGCGGCCAGTGGACTTTCGGTCGCGAGCGTGCTTGAGGGTGTTCCAGACTCCCAGGGGCCATGTTCAAGAAGTGTACCCTAGACCCAAAACTCTGAAGTGTAAAGGGGGGATTTACTGTTTATTCCGAACAGTACTTTCGAACTCACCCTTATCCTTATCTTCCTAGATTTCCTAGTGCCACGGGGCACTCTACCTTTCTTGCTTCTACTTTCTAGTCCCACGAAGTACTTTCCGACATTCGACCTTGCATGCTATATCATCCTTGCTTGTATCCACCAATATCAATCAGTTCTCATTCAACTATTCTTTAATTACTTAGTAACTTCTTCGCCTATTTCGCCAATAGTTCTTTCGCCAAAGTCTTCCGCCGCGTTTCATCCTCGACTTGTCGACCCCGCTAATTCTTTAGCGGACTTAGGCTGTCGGGCCTAACACTTGGTATCAGAGCCTTCGCGGGGAGCGACTTCGAGCGAGCAACCGTCGACGACGAGACTACGACGTCATCGTCCCGCGGTGCCGACTTGCAGACTTGGAGTCGTCGAGCGAACATGGACGAAACCATGCATGCTCTCCCCCACGACATGGGCAACATGCTTGCCTAACTCATGCGCCAACTTCAAGAGTTAACGTTGGAAAATCGTGAGGTACGAGCTGAAGTGCAACACCTTCGTGAATTGCTTCTAACCCCCATGGTCATGCCGCACCAACTCTTGCGCCCAACACGTCGACTGGCGCGGAAGCACTGCCGGAACGTCGAAGCGCGCTCGAGCCGCAGAAACCCGAGTCGTTCAACCCAAGTCAACGCAACGCGAACCCGCGGACGTGGCTCTTTATGCTGAACAACTACTTTGCTGCGAGCGGGGTGCAAGAGGCGGATGCGCAGCAGCGGATCGAGTACGCTGTTACACTGCTGAGGGGCCCGGCCTTGGAGTGGTGGCACCAACTTACGCAGACTGTTGTTAGAAGGGCTCAGACGGACGAGCATCAACAGGGCGTGGGGCATGCAGCTGCAACTTTGAGCTTAGGTAGTCTAGCTTTGGGTGTTACCACGGTTCCGGCCACATGGAAAGGATTTGAAGTTCTCAGAACATTATAGCTTATACATTTGTATAGGCTGTAGTGGGGTAGCCTATAAGGGGTACAACCCAATTAGGGTTAGTACTTGTACCCAACTGTTTCATAGTTCATTCATCCATTCTCACTTCTCGTCATGGTATCGAGCAGGTTCCCGAGTGGGAATACTGCCTAGGGCCCACCACGAACTTTTTTTTTTCCTTCCCTGCCCGGAGCGCGCTTCGCTCCTAACCCGAGTAGCGCCTCGAGCCGCCCTTACGGCCCCTTCGCGCCGCCTTCTACGGCCCCTCGCCCCGCTCTTACGGCCCCTTATGGCCCCGTCTTGCCCCTTGCGGCCCCAATTAGGCCCCTTACGACCCCGTCGCGACCTCGCCTAGGCCCCTTACGGCCCCGTCGCGTCCCCGCCTAGGTCCCTCCGCGGCCCCGTCGTGCCCCTTACGGCCTCGCCTAGGCCCCTTACAGCCCCTTCGCGGCCTCGCCTAGGCCCCTTACGGCCCCTCCGCGGCCCCGCCTAGGCCCCGTATGACCCCTTACGGCCCCCTACGGCCTCGCCTAAGCCCCTTACGGCCCCTCCGCGGCCCCGCCTAGGCCCCTCCGCGGCCCCGTCTGGCCCATTATGGCCCCCTTTGCGGCCCCGCCTAGGCCCCTCCGCGGCCCCGTCTGGCCCTCTTTATGGCCTCGTCTGGCCCCTTACGGCCCCTTTGTGGCCCCGCCTACGCCCCTCCGCGGCCCCGTCTGACCCGTACGGCCTCTCCGCCACCCCGCCTAGGCCCCTCCGCGGCCCCGTCTACCCCTCCCCATTTACGGCCCCCCTGGCCCCTTTACGGCCCCGCTACGGCCCCTTTGCGGCCCCGTCGCCACCTGCGGCCACGTCGCCACCTGCGGCCCCGTCGCCACCTACGGCCCCGTCGAGACCTGCGGCCCCGCCGCCACCTACGGCCCCGTTGCCACCTGCGGCCCCGTCGCCACCTGCGGCCCCGTCGCCACCTGCCGCCCCGCCGACACCTGCGGCCCCGCCACCACCTACAGCCTTATCGCCACCAGCGGCCCCGCCGCCACCTGCGACCCCGTTGCCACCTGCGGCCCCGTCGCCACCTGCGGCCTCGCCGCCACCTGCGGCCCCGCCGCCCAGCGCACGCACCGCCGAGCAGCCGAACCGCCGGCCAGTTGAGCCGCCCGACCGCCGAGCCGCCCAGCAGTAGAGCCGCCCGACCGCTGAGCCGCCCAGCACAGAGCAGCCGAGCCGCCCGACCACCGAGCCGCTGAGAAGCCGAGCCACCCGACCCCCCCACTTGCGTGGTAAGAGCATAGTCTCTGCCACTGCACTACCCTTCCCCACTGTATCACTGCCTGCCTACTGCTGTTATGGCCTCCCCTTGCGTTCTCACCTTTGACGCTGAGGGTCGGGCAGTGGACTTTGAGGTCTGGGTAGATGATCTGCAGCTTTCCCTGCAGTGCGATAGGGCAGACGGCCTTTCCCTATTTGACCTCACTTCTAGTGCCTCCCCTGCCCCTGCTGTTGATGCTGATGCCACTATTCGCTCACAGTGGGCCACGCGCGATGCTGCTGCTCGCCTTGCTGTGCGTCGCCACTTACCGACCACTAAGCGTGCACACTTTAGCCAGTATAAGAGTGCTCAGACCTTGTACGATGCTGTGGTTGCACGCTACTCTTCCCCTGCCACTGCTGCACTGAGCTGCGTCATGCTACCGTACCTCTTCCCTAACCTTGCTGCCTTTTTCAAAGTCGCTGACCTCATTAAGCACCTCCGCACTAGTGACACTCGCTACCGCGCTGCGCTTCTTGCTGAGTTCTGCGCCAAGACCCCCCCCCCCCCCCCCCCCCCCCCCCCATGTACATCACCCTCTACTACATAGTCACCCTTCTCCCTCACTCTCTCCCTGTAGTCAGGGACCACTTCCTCTCGGTTTGCCCCACCACTCTCACCGTTGACCTCCTCGAGAAGGCCCTCCTAGCGATAGAGAAGAGCATAATCGCTAAAGGAGCCTCTCATGGTGACCCTCGCACCCCCGTCTTTGAGGGGTGTTCTCCCTCCTCCCTCTTGCCCTTTGTTGCCTCTGCTGCTGAGGCTGACCTCGTTGATTTTGAGTCGGTCGGCGCTGCGTCTGCCCCGAGCGGGAGAAGCCGCACAGGCAAGGGCAAGGAGGGCAAGGGCGCTGGAGGGGCAGGAGGGGGCGGTGGAGGTGGTAGTGGAGGCAGTGGAGGGAGTGGGGGTGGTGGTGGGAGTGGTGCCGAGGGTGGCGGAAGCAGCAGTGGAGGCGGCGGAGGCGGTGGAGGTGGCGGAGGGAGCGGAGGCGGCGAAGGTAGTGGAGGAGGAGGAGGTGGAGGAGGCGGCGGAGGCGGCGGCTGCGGTGGTGGAGCGAGTCGCGACTCTGCGCAGAGAAGTGGCGCTGGTGGTGGTTAGCGCTGGAGTGGTGTGACCCTATCCCCTCAGCAGCTTCGTGAGTGGTACACTGCACGTTAGCGCGGTTGGGGTTTTGGTCCCTGCTCTTACGTCCTCCGTACCGGCGACCGCGTTGGTGAGCAGTGCAGAGGCCCGCACTCCACCCTGCGCTGCTTTGGTCGCCTGGCAGACGTGTGGCGTCGCCAGTTCCCTGAGGCGTCAATACACCCTTGCTGGGGAGATCTGGCTAAGGCCGGGGTTGCTATCTTTGATCTTGACTTTGATGCTATCCTTGCTGCCATGTGTGCTGTTGATACTAGTGTTGCTGGTGACTGCTACCTATGTGTACCGCCAGACCCGGGCATTGAGGCCACTGCTCTAGGTGCGGGTGAGGCTGCTGCTCTAGGTGCTAGTGAGTCTGCTGCCCCAGGTGCCAATGCGTCTGCCGCCCCAGGTGCTGGTGAGTCTGCTCTCTCAGGTACTACGTCGGCTCAGGCCTTCCACACCTTCACCCTGGACTCGGGTGCGTCCCGCTCCTTCTTTCGAGACCGCACCACTCTCACGCCGCTTAGTCGGCCGGTTGCAGTCTCCCTGGCAGACCTCTCTGGAGTCATGACCTTGCTAGCTTCTCCACTGTCCTTCTGTGCCCGGCAGCCCCCTCTGGCACCTTGTCTTGTCTCTACCTCCCCTCGCTCTCTACAAACTTGGTGAGTGGAGCGGACCTACAGGATCGAGGGGTTGACCAGTTCACTCCTGCAAGTCAGCGAGTGACCCACTGCACGTATGCATGCACATGCCGACACTTGGCCACGTTCACCCGTCGGCCAGGGTCGAGCCTGTACACCCTTACTACTGAGTCTCCTCCTGCTGCTGAGTCTGCCCAGGTAGCTGCGTTGAGTCAGGTGTTTGCTGCAGCGTCCAGGTCTGGTCCTGAGTCTGCCCCCTGCTCGTGTCATCTGCTGTCCCACCTGACTCTCCTTTGGCACCACCGCCTTGGTCACCCCTCCTTGCCTTGACAGAGGCGGGGAGTTTTCCTCTGCCCGTCTGGGAGCCTTCTGTCGTGCACAGGGCATCTGCCAGACCTTCACGCTTTCGGCCTCTCCACAGCAAAATGGGATTGCTGAGCGCCGCATCGGCATGGTCATGGACGTCGCTCATACGTCCATGATGCATGCGGCTGCCCCCCATTTTCTATGGCCGTTTGCGTTTCAGTACGCCGCGCATCAGCTCAACCTTCAGCCCCGGGTCTCCTTGCCAGAGACCTCCCCCGCCTTGCGGTGGATAGGGAAGGTTGGCAATGCGTCTGCGTTTCAGGTCTAAGGATCTCGGGCGTTTGTCCGCGACTTGTGTTCGGACAAGCTGTCCCCCCGTGCTGTTCCCTACGTTTTCCTAGGATTCCCCCCTGACGTGCCTGGTTGGCAGTTTTACCACCCCACCTCACGTCGTGTTCTGTCCTCCCAGGACTTCACCTTTGACGAGTCGGTGCCTTACTACCGTCTCTTCCCCTACCGCACTGCGCCCCCCCCCCCCCCCCTCCCCCCCCCCCTCCGCCGCCGTTCTTCCTTGCGCCAGGTCCTCCCCAGGTGGACCCCCTCCCCCCTCAGGGTCCTGCCCCGTCAGGTGTGTCCCAGGTAGACGCAGTCGAGCTTGTCGAGGTGGCTGTTTACTCTGGTGCTGCTAGAGATGCTAAGCCTGCGGGTCTCGGGTCTGGGGGTGCTGAGTCTAGAGCTGTTGAGTCTGGGGGTGCTAAAACTGGGGGTGCTGAGTGTGGGGATGCTGAGCCTGGGGGCGTTGAGCTTGGGGGTGCAGAGCCTAGGGGTGCGGAGCCTGGGGGTGCTGGGTCTGCTCGTGTGGCCGCCGGCGGTGCTTCATCGAGGCGGGAGCCGCTCTCTCCACAGGAGCTGCGCGAGTGGTTTGTCCGCCGTTGGAGACGTGCTGCTGAGTCTGGGGGTGCTGCTGGAGCTACTGGAGGTGGTCCTACTGTCGTTGCTGTCGGTGCTGGTGCTGCTGGAGAAGGAGCTGCTGGGGGTGTTGGCGCTGGTGTTTCTACTCGTGTTGGTGCGTCTGGGGGTGCTGCTTAGGCTGCTGTTGCTGACGGTCCTACTGGAGTTGGTGCTGCTGGAGCTCGAGCTGCTGGGGGTGTTGGCGCTGGTGCTTCTGAGGGTGCTGGAGTTGGCACTGCTGGAGCTGGAGGTGCTGCTGGCGCTGGTGCTGCAGTTGGTGGTACTGGTGCCGTCCTTGCTGGTTCTGGAGGCGTTGAGCGGCCGAGGCCGTACTTCGTTCCGCTCCTGAAGCAGGTTCTTGGTCTCCCGCCCTCTCCTAGTCCTGCTCCTCCCTTAGAGTGTCCACCGCCTGTCTAGTCGCAGTCAAAGTTACAGCCCGCCTCCCCTCTACCTGCTCCTTTTCCCTACACTGGTCCTACTGGAGGTCTTGCTGAGCGTCGTGAGCCTGCGTCTCATCCTGCGTCGCCTATTCGTGCTGCTCGCACTAGTGGTCGTACTGCGCGTCCGCGTCCCCCTGCGGTCCCCATCACACACAAGATGGCACTGCGTCCTTCCACTCCTCCTATGCGTGTCCCGTTGCCGTCTCCTCCAGAGTCCTCTCTTCCTTCTCTTGCTGACCCGGAATCTGACTCCCTTCGTGGTGCTAGTCCTTTGGTCACGCGCCTTCTTGCTACTGCTGTCACTGACCCTTCCTTTGAGTCCACTGCTGCGTCTGCTCTAGTTGCTGAGCTTGTTGACTTGGGCTTGCTCCTTCTACAGCCGGCACGTCACTGTTTTTGCGCACCGACACCTCTTCGCCGCCGTTCTACATCCTCGTGTACGTCGACGACTTGGTCTTTGCCACAGCTGACACTGCTGGACTCGCCCACGTGAAGTCCGAGCTGCAGAAGAGACACACGTGCACAGAACTGGGTGAGCTGCGCAGCTACCTTGGCTTGCAGATCACCCGGGACAGAGCACAGCGCACCATTACCCCGACTCAGTCACACATGGTGCAGCAGGTCCTTCAACGCTTCCGCTTCACGTACTCCTCGCCTCAGGCCACTCCTCTGTCTACTCGCCACTCGCTCTCAGCTCTGCCTTCAGATGAGTCTGTAGAGTCGAGTGGCCTGTACCCAGAGCTTGTTGGCTGCCTTGTGTACCTGATGACCTGCACACGACCTGACCTTGCATACCCTCTTAGCATCTTGGCACGCTATGTTGCTCCTGGGAGACACAGACCAGAGCACATGGCTGCAGCGAAGAGGGTGTTGCGCTACGTGTGCAGTACGTCGGGCATGGGGCTAGTGCTTGGAGGGCGACGTCGAGTAGTCCTCGTAGGTCATGCTGACGCTTCTTGGGCGGATGACCAAGCTCTGGAGTGGTTGTCACAGGGTTACACCTTCAGCCTTGGCTGTGGATCTGTTTCGTGGCGGTCTACCCGCTCGTCTTCTGTTCTTAGCTCCAGCTGTGAGGCTGAGATCTACGCAGGGGCCATGGCTGCACAGGAGTTGCGCTGCCTCACCTACTTGCTAAGTGACCTAGGAGAGCCGCCTCGTTCTCCTCCAGTTCTGTACGTAGACAACAAGGCCATGCGGGCCTTGTGTCGGGAGCATAGACTGGAGCACAGAACGAAGCACATTGCTCTTCGCTACTTCCTGGCTGGTGAGCTGCAGCAGCGTGGTCAGCTCCGCCTCACCTACGTGGCCTCTGGGACCAACACTGCTGATATCTTCACCAAGGCCCTTCCGCCTTGTGATCGTCAGCGCTTCTGTACTTTGCTAGGTCTTGTGCCTATTTGGCCTCACTTGCTCACTTCTTGATCTTGTTTGTACTGTACTCTTTCTATACCGTCAATTGCCTGTTTAACTTTATATATATGATCTTGCATGTGAAATGGCCTTGTGGCCTTACTCTTGTGCTTGGACTGTGTGGTGACTTTGTGATCCACCCTGAGCTTGCTTTGCTTTTCTTGACTGGTCTTGTGACCGCTTGTTCTCCCCCACTTTGCCTATGGGGATGTGTCAGAACATTATAGCTTATACATTTGTGTAGGCTGTAGTGGGGTAGCCTATAATTGGTACAACCCAATCAGGGTTAGTACTTGTACCCAACTATTTCATAGTTCATTTCCATTCTCACTTCTCGTCACAAGTGGCGCTGAAAACTAGGTTCGTTTGGTGAATGCCTCCGAAGCTGCTTAGAAGCGTCTGCGTCATTTCCGACGGATAGGAAACGTCCAGGAGTACACACAATGTTTCTTGAGCATCTGCAATGAAATAGACGACATCACGGAAGTAGAGATGCGTGATCGCTACCTCGAAGGGTTGAAGCCAGACATAGCGGAGGTTATAGCGATTCGCGGACTGTCCACCTTCGAGTCGGTAGTCGCAGCGGCATAACGCGTCGACGTAGTACGAAGCCGATGGGGTCGTGACAATTGCGATAGGGGATACAAACCGATCAACGACGCTCAATCAAGGGACGGACTGTCGGCCATGGAGATATGTACAGTAAGCAGTGACGGCTCACAGAAAACAGGATTTAGGGGGAACTGTCACTACTGCAAAAAGCCGGGACACATGAAGCGGGACTGCCATCAGCTTAAGGAGCGGCAGCAAGGAAACGGAAACCGCCAGTAGATAGCGGGTCGCTAGCTGGTGTGGAGGTCCCCGTACCCTCCACGTCTACCAACGTAGAGGAGACTGCCTCACAGCAGTCATCTATGGAGAACTCGGTAGACACGGTTGATCGTCCTGTCGTGCTTCTAGGGAAGCTTTGCGGAGTATTAATCAAGATTTCCGTAGATAGCGGAGCCAGCCATTCGTTCGTGTCTTCATCGCTAGTTAGTCGTCTCCATCTTGAAGCAGATTTAGTAGTCAACTTCAAGGATGCTCGCATGGTAGATGGGATGCCGCTTCACATCGGACCGATCATCCGCAAGTTGCGCGTAGTGCTAGGACCAATCACAGTTAGGCGTGATTTCAACTCTGCGACGCTGGACGGATACGATTTTTTCTTCGGGAGATATCGGCTACGCACGATTAGTACTCACTTTGATTGGGCTCAGGGAAGCTGCAACATCAAGGTAGACGGGGACTTCCGAGAGCTGCCACAGTGGAGCGATGGGACCACATCATCCATAGCTATCACTAATGGTGTTCGTATGCGATAGTTAGTGAAGCGTGCAGCATGGATCTTTGTGGTTTTCCTTGAGGAGGTGGAAGCTGAGGAGGGGAAAGGAGGGATCGCAGCATTTGGCGATAAGACGACTCTTCCTGCTGATGTGAGTGCACTCTTAGTGGAGTTTAGAGACGTCTTCCCCGACGAGTTGCCCCCGGGGTTACCTCCCAGCCGAGCAGTCGACCATCAGATAGAGTTAGAGCCGGGGAGCAGGCCAGTAGCAAAACCGCAGTAGAGGTTGAGTCCAGCAAAGACCGAGGAGATGACGTAGCAGGTTAGGCACTTTCTCGCGCAGGGTTTCATTTAGCCATCTAGATCGCCTTCGGCAACACCAATCCTTTTCGCACCCAAGAAAGACAAAGGGTTACAGATGTGCATAGATTACCGCGTACTGAATGCCACCACCGTTAAGAATAGGTTTCCGGTGCCGAGAGTAGAGGATCTCCCACATGCAGTGCAGGGCGTTAGAGTTTTCTCCAAGATCGACCTTCGTTCGGGTTACCACCAGATTCGCGTAGTTCAAGAGGACCAGCACAAGACGGCGTTTCGTACGAAGCAGGGGTTGTACGAGTTTAGAGTTCTACCATTCGGTTTGACGAACGCCCCAGCGACGTCTCAGACGCTCATGAATGTTATAGTCACAGTAGGCTCCAATGTGCCTAAAACGAAAGATAGTGTGCACAGTCGGATTTCTGCACAGCGGCTTCAAACGTTCATAGCGATCTGCTCACAACTCCAAATGACTTTATTCAACTTGGATCTGGAGCGCCTTAACCTCACCTAAAACGGGAAATTTAGATCTCACGCTTTCATTAAGAACTGACGACACAGCGCCGGTTTGAAAGAACGGC